TCTTGACAAACATCAATACACCCTAAGAAAATTATTAATATAAAAAAAATATATGTAAAGATAATGAAAATAGGAAAAAATTGGTGTGTGATTGAGAAAAGGGAGAAAGAAAATTTGTAGTTGGCAGACGCATGTTAGCCGTCAGTCAGTACACGAATAAATCAGAAAGGGTACAAAATACCACTCCCAATCCAAATACTAAAGTTGAGGCCAAAAAACCCAAAAAATAGAAGTTTGCAAAACACAGCATTACATTAGCCTAATTATGAGAAAAAGTGTGGCTAGTCAATAAGGAAACAAAGAAAAGTTTCATGAGAAACCAAACAACCATAACATTTGGTATATATGTCACAAGGACAAGATAACAAGAACAAATAGTTATTAGTTACATAGACAAATTCAAGATTTTCAGCAACAGTAAATCTAAAACTAAATTCAAAGTAACACTTGTGCAATTTAGTCACGGAAAGCTCCTTCCTGGCAAATGATCACAGAATTGGTTGAGGATCTTGGGCAACCTACCAATTTCTCAGCCAATCGAAGTGAATATCTAGAAGCACAGTTCATTGAACAGATCCTACAAATTCTTCTCCTTGATATAATTACAAACTTCTCTAAAATTGTTGCATTCTTTAGTAGAAATTCGGAAAGTTTGAACAGATCATCATCATCATCCCATTCAAGATGCCTCATCACACACATATTGGAAGAACTGATAGCGTTAACATTCTTAAGGTTGGGAAACTCGATGCTTGACAGGAAATGAATATCATGTTCTTTGGCCAAGTATCCTAACTCAAATGTGCATCGCTCAAATCCACCTGGAGAGAGAATACATTCAAATTACAATCATAATGCACAAACGTTACAAAACAATGATTTCATTGTATGAGGGAACGAAGGCAGTACTTGAATATGTTTTATTTATATAATTTGAATTTTCTTCTTAGTATGATGTTGTTATAGTGACTTGTTCACTTCTTTAAATGTAAAGTTGCTTACAAAAAATCATGTGTACGACATTGTTTGCATCCATTTTGAAACATTGTTCATACTGGAAGGGGGTGGGGGGGAGTCCTGTTAAAACTACCTAAAAATGAATGTGCAAAAGTTGCAGAAAGCACTTACAAAACTACATCAGTACATGATGTGGTAATCCCAATGAAACTAGTGAACGATCGAGAAACCAAGAACAATCAAAAAGGAAGAAAAATCCTACCTAGACTGATAATGTTAAGCCAAATCTGACCATCAAACAATGTAGTTGGATAGTAGAAGAAGTACCCGACTTTAGAAAGTTGACCGAAAGATTGCAAAAAGTCCAGAGAGTTTTGTATTAACACCAGTAGTGTTTGTATAATGTGTAAAATTTCTCGAAATTGTGTTATATTCTAAAGGGGATGCTGTCTCTTTATGTTATCTATATACCAAAAAGAAAATAAGGTCTTCATGACAAAACAAACCTCAGTGAACCAAGTCCCAATCGTTAACTAGGTTACATTGCTCAACATTTGAAGATTATCTTCGATGGTCTCCTTATAACTCGATGTTCTTCAGAACAAAACGTGGCACTAGCACTAAAAGTACCTTAAGCAATCCAAGAACAACTCATTCGGAAAGTAAGCTTAGCACTGACCATAAAGGATACATTTACTAGCCTACACCCGAGATCATACATATCTTCGGAGATCTCCAAATGCTGAATATGTGGGGCAAAAAATATTCAAAGACAGATCATCGGAGTCATGATCATACGACTTCGAACTTAAGCCTCTTTAAATTTGAAGAATTGATTTCCAAATGATGGAATCCGGAGAATTCAGAAAATTCGAGGATTTCCAAAGCAGGACAACCTGAGAGTATGTTCACAATTATGTCATCATCTAAGGTTATGTCATTCAACCGTAGGGTCCTTAAAGACTTCCAATCTATGACAATTTCCTTATCAAGTGTACAACACGTGAGATCCAATGTTATCAAGGAAGAACACTTGTAGATAGTGTCAGGCAAGTCAATGGAGTAATTCTCATATGAATCTGACAACAATACAATATTTTCAACAACAGTAGCAAGCCATCGGGAGATTGGGAACAATAATTTATTTTATTTTCTCCTCTTCAGTAGGCCCATCGGCTGATTGTGAAATCTACTATGTTATCAACAAATCCAATTCGTTGCTCGTATTTGGACATGTGGGTGAAATTCAAATGAAAGTTTTTAATTTTGGAACAAGTAGAATGATCTAATACATGATCGACAAAGGATATAAAGTTTTTCCTTTGCGATTTATCTTTACAAGAGAAAAAGAAGTTATCAATTGAAGGCGATAGATGCTCCCATATTTTTATCCTTTGTCGATAAATCGCAAAGGAAAAACTTTATATCCTTTGTCGATTATGAATTAGATCATTCTACTTGTTCCAAAATTAAAAACTTCCATTTGAATTTCACCCACCTACCAAATACTAGCAACGAATTGGATTTGTTGATAACATAGTAAATTTCACATTCAGTCGATGGGTTCCTACTGAAGAGGAGAAAATAAAAATAAATTATTGTTCCCAATCTTCCGATGGCTTGCTACTGTTGTTGAAAAGAATGTTGAAAGTGTTGTATTGTTGTCAGATTCATATGAGAATGACTCCATTGACTTGTCTGACACTATCTACAAGTGTTCTTCCTTGATAACATTGGATCTCACGTGTTGTACACTTGATAAGGAAATTGTCATAGATTGGAAGTTTTTCAAGACCCTACGGTTGAATGACATAACCTTAGATGATGACATAATTGTAAACATACTCTCAAGTTGTCCTGCTTAGGAAATCCTCGAATTTCTTGAATTCTCCGGATTTCGTCATATGGAAATTAGTTCTTCAAATTTAAAGAGGCTTAAGTTTGAAAATTTGTCGTACTATAACTCTGATGATCTCTCTTTGGATATTTTTGCCCCATATATTCAACATTTGGAGATCTCCGGATATATGTATGAGCTCAGGTATAGGCTAGTAAATGTATCCTCTGTGGTCAGTGTTAAGCTTACTTTCCAAATGAATTGGACTTGGTTTGATCAAGGTCCTGATGGGCATCAAGTTATAAGGACACTCATCGAAGATTATCTTCAAAAGTTGAGCAATGCAACTGAGTTAACGATTGGGACTTGCTTCATCGAGGTTTGTTCACCTTATTTGCTTTCTAGTATATAGATATCAAAAAGAGAAAACGCTAAGAATATAACACAATTTGAGAACTTTTACACTTTTTACAAAGACTATTGATGTGAATACAAAACTCTCCTGACTTTTTGCAATCTTTCTGTCAACTTTCTAAAGTCGGGTACTTCTTCTACCATTCAGCTACATTGTTAGATGGTCAGATTTTCCATAACATTATCTGTCTACACAATAATTTTCTTCCTTCCATTTGTTCTTGGTTTCTCAATCGTCCACTTTATTGGGATTACCACCTCAGGTACTGATGCAGTTTGATAAGATGTTGCTTTCAGAATTGAAATGCAAGTGTCTAACTCTGAATTGACATATCACAGAGTCTTATTTCTATGGAGCAGCTATCCTGTTACGAGCCTCGCCTCATGTGAAGATACTCAACATAACCATGGCAACTACTTCTGTAACTTCCTACAACTTTTGCTCTTCTATTTGCACATTCATTTTAGGAAGTTCTAACATCCCTCCCCCTTTCCTATATTGAACGTTGTTCCAAAAGGGATGCAATCATGCAAATATATCTTTGATTATCACCAAAGAGACGCTTGTCACTAGAATGTTAAAAAAATTGTTGACAAACTTAAGAGATGTTACTCTTGGCTTGGTCTACCTATTCCAAGAGTCATCCTAAGAGGAACAACTTTTTTAATCATTTTCCCAAAACCATTGAAGATTGGTCTATTGAGAAATTGTTCTATACCAGACACTTGTCCTATGAAATCATTTTTTGTAACTTCTGTGCATTATGATTTTCATTTGACTATATTCACTTTCCAGTTGGATCTTGAGCAATGCGCATTTGAGTTAGGATATTTGGCCAAAGAATATGATATTCATTCTTCTCAAGCTTCGAGTTTCCCAACCTCAAGAATGTTAAGGTTGTCAATGCTTCCAAGATCTGTTTGAAGGAGCAACTTGAATGGGATTATGATGATCTTTTCAAACTTTCAGAAAATCTACTAAAGAATACTCCCTCCGTCCCTATTTAGTTGTCCACTTTAGAAATGGTACACAAATTAAGGCAACAATGATTAGCATAGTGAAGTTACAATTTTACCCTTATACTCCCTCTGTCCACAATTGTTTGTCAGGGTAAGGTCATGCACACCTCTCAAGGAAAATTTAATACAAGATGTAATTTGACTAAATATAACCCTACTATACCAAGAATACCAAAAGTCCACATAACTTTTCAATTGAACTACACTATCATTAAGGGCAGAATTGGAAAAAAGTGACTAATTATTTCTTGATTGTTTAAATTGACAATTAATCTTGGACATCTATTTTTAGTATACCTGCCAAATAATTGTGGACGGAGGGAGTAGTATAATTTACAATTCCAAAATAAATTCACTCAATATAACTAATCAATGCTAGAAAGTTCATAAGTTTATTTACTTTATTTATGACAACTTTATTTAAATAAGGGTATAATAGGAAAAAAATTGTTGTCCTTTCTTGATTTGTCAAAATAGACAACTAAATAGGGACAACTAAAAGAGGAAATATGGACAACTAAATAGGGACGGAGGGAGTACAAAAGTTTTGGAGAACTTTGTAATT